TTGTTTCAGAATGACTTAATCCAGGTAGTATCCATGTTTGGGAGGATGTGTAAGTCTAGGAAGTTTCAGTGGCTGGATTTCATGGATTGTCACAAAGAGGTAACTGGTGTGTTTGGAGAAGAACTACTTTTAGTACTTCTTACGTGGGTGAGTATGATTTAATATGGTTATAATTAAATTGAACTTCATATACATATTTTCTTAGAGTTTCATTTAAGAATACTTGCAACTTCTATTTTAAACTTAGCTATATTAGAAGTTTGAGATAATCCCTTAACAGAATTTGCATACTTCCTCTATAATCTTCATCCTAATTTGCTGCAAAATTTAATCAGCATGTCCACACTGCCTCAAACCACAAGCATTTTGAATTCACACACTGTATTTTATTTTATCTTGCATTTTCTTGATCTATGGCAGGCCTTGGTACACACAAGGGATTTCATAAGAGAAATAAAAAAAGAAAGAGCTTGAGTGGAAATGTGGATGGCTTCTAGTCACACCTAGATCTAGAGCTTGCTGTACTGCAGTAAGTAAGCCACTTATACTCTATGAGACTTAATTTTTCCATTTATAAAATGAGTAATATAATATTTCAGGAGATTGGTCAAGGATCAAGAATAAACTATGGAGAGGAAATTTTTAGCTCATGGCAATAATACTTTCTAAAAATTAAAGCTTTCCAGAGAATGTCTACTTTCAGCAGTAGAATTCCTGAACAATGGAAGTAGTCAAATGTAGGCTTACCAAACATTTGGATGGAGAATTAAGCACTGAAAGAGAGAATTGAAAACCCTGGGTGAATGGCAGAGTAAAACCCCTTTCCAAATTGAGTTTTGGTGATGCCCAACCTTTCTTCCATGGAATTATGGTGGCACTGCAAGTCCATATGTATAGCATGGGGTAGTGCATGGCATACTTCCCCTAAATATGGTGCCTTGAGAAAATTATACAAGCAGAAAGTTATTTCTGACTTTCTGTTGTCCCCTGTTTTAAAGACCCTCATAAGACAGATATCCAGCCCTATATTAAGTGAGAAGGAATGTGGCACAGAGAGGCCAAAAAGAATTTGAAGAACTGGCCTAGCTAAATTGAGCCCAGTTTGTTTCTTAGGTTACACATACTTTTAATCTAATGGTACTTACCATAGATGTCCATTCAACATCAAACTTAAGCATAAAAATATAATTTTTCCTTTTTAAAATTAATTAGTTTATTTTAATTATGTATATATGACATCAGAATGCATTTTGATTGATTGTACACAATTGCAGCCCAACTTTACATTTCTATGGTTGTACACGACATAGCATCACACCATATGTGAAGTCATACATGTACATAGGGTAATAATGTCCATCTCATTACAATACTGTTCCTGCCCACACGCACCCTCCCTACACACAATGGACTATTACTCAGCATTAAAAAAAGAATAAAATTATGGCATTTGCAGGTAAATGGATGGAGTTGGAGAATATCATGCTAAGTGAAGTTAGCTAATTCCAAAAGACCAAACGCTAAATATTGTCTCTGAAAAGTGGATGTTAATTTATAAAAGGGATGGGTAGGCATGGGAAAAATGGAGGAACTTTGGATCTTTTATGTTTCTTCATTCTGTGAAGCTCCTATATCATCTAAGATCTTGTTTTAAAATTTTTATTATGCTTTTCTTAATCTTTCTTCTGTTTTGCTCTAGGTAAGAGATAAAACTTTGTCACCCCTACAAGCATAAACATGAAACCGGTCAGTACTTGGTCTCCTTTATTGCCTCTAAGAGGACAGTCTCTTCACGTTTTGCATAACAATGTATGTATTCTAGATGGTGACTTTAATAATAGCTTTTCTACCTAATCCTTGGCTTTATTGTAAGGATGCTAAATTTCAATAAATATGAAAATCAACAGTACCTAAAGAAAAAAATGTGTTATTATTTTTAAAAATTTCAATGGTGTTCTCTCCTATCACCTGTAGGGACATAAGTTCTGTTAAATCAACTGTATAGACCACCTCCTCCTTTGTAGGTTTAATAACAGTTTGGAAGCAAGCATATCACCATCTGTTTAGGTTTATGTACTCCTAACTGTTTGGCCATAATTGATATTTTGAAAAATATTTAATGGTATACAAATTTAATAGCTTTATCATTTTAATTGTGTTTGCAAGTTTCTCAGTATTACCAGAGCATATTATCTTAAATTTATCTTTCATCACTTACCAATTTACCAACAGATAGGTGGATAGACTCTCTGAGCCATATTGAACTAAAAAATGCTTTACTAATATGCATATTGATCAGTTATTTCCACAACAATGCTATGTGACAAACCATTTCAAACTTAGGGTCTTAAAACAATGGGTGCTTATAATTTCTCTACTTTGCAATCTGTGTGGTGCTGAAGCAAACCTTTCTCAGGCTTGGGTAGACTAGGCTTTGCTTCTTTCTTTGAGATAGTGCTAGGTCTGCTCCGTATTTTTCTTCATTTTCTGGAAACCAAGAATTACCTGCAGCATGTACTTTGAGGAATAGCAAAAACACCCTTAGTACCCCTACAGACTTTAGTCCAAAATTAGTGTGTTTTCTCAACTGCCTACATTTCACTGGCTTTAGCAATAACATGGCTTAGCCAATTGTCAACAGAAAGAGAAATATTCACCATTACCTTAGTACCATGGTTAGGATCTGGTAGGTCTATATAAATACTATAAACCAAATGACTGTTTGATAAGTGAAGGATTTCACTTTCTATAAATGTTTAATTCTAGTTGATATTTCCAGTAATTCAGCTTTTCTCTTTCTCAAAGTAGACTTTATCATTGGACAATTTCAGTCATTGGAAAAACGTATTAAAATTTAACATTCTTAATTTTCTTTAAATTGAGCCCCCAATTGCCCTGAAAAACACATGTATTTTGCTTTAGATAAGGAAGGACTTTCAAATAATTGAAATTATTTTTCTATTCTAAATATTCCCCAATGGTTTCAACAATCTTTTCACCTAAGTTCCTTGTTCAAATGTCTCCAGAAACAAATGAGTTTGTTAATATATTGATTTCAGATAGTCTTTGTATAACTCATAAATATATAAATTGACTACTTATTTCTAGTGACTTATACATTATCAATATTCCAATTACTGCAGTTATATTTTAAGTAGTTACATAAAATAGATGAAAAACATAAAATATATTTAAAATTAGTAAGATCTTTAAGGACAAAGAAAAATAATATAATGAAAACGTGTATTCATGATTTTCAACTCTGAATAACTTTTTATATTTAATTGGAAACTTAATAAAACATAAATCATTGGAGGTATAGTTGATGTTTATTTTGTATTTCTCTCATTTCCTGTCTTCTTCCCTTTCCCCAAAAGTGGTAACCAAAAAAGATAACCACTAGCTTAAACATTTTATAAAAATGCATCATATCCTACGCCACAAAGTAAAATTCTAAATTCATCAAATAATCAGTCTCCTACAGATTACATGCTTTGCAAGATTAGAAATCAATAGAAAATAAAAACAACATGTGAAAAGATTGTTGATTCTTGTATTGGATAGAATATTCTATTTGGGTTATATGTGTTTTCAAATCTTCCATTGCACGACGACTCTACAACCTAACACTCATTGACAGAGCTGCATTAGTACCTTCCATTGGATTTGATTTTAGATTTATAATTCTGCTCTTCACAATCCTCTCCATTGCTGTTAATATTATAGATGATAATTTAAAACTATTTCTGATGATTTCTTCACTACAAACTAGAACTTTTACAGTACAGTAATGCTGTTCGCATAATATCTCTTTTTTTCTGATGTTAATACAGGTATGCCTGCTTTAGGTTTGGCTCTTTTAAACCCAATTTTTGTCTTTTTATTTTTCTTTGTTTGTTTTTTTGGACTGGGAATCAAACCCAGGGCCAAAAGTAATCACATAAAATAAGTGACTTAGGACTGGGAATCATACCCAAGGCCTTGTGCTTGCTTGGAAAGTGCTCTCAAACTGAGCTACATCCCAGCACTATTCCATTATTTGATTTGCCACTTTACTTTACCATTGTGATTCTTTTAAACCACATAAAAATTAGTCTATTTCATTCTTTTAATATAATATTGACAATACTTGTCTACTCCAGGAAAGAGAGATCCGTTTCCATTTATTTTGATATCTGATATGTTTATATTTCCATGTACATATTATCAACATATTTCACCTATTTTTTTGTTTATTTTATGCCTTCTATTGCACTGAAATTTTTATTGTGTTCCTCCCTTTTCCTTCAGCTCATTTTTAAGTTGTATGGTATGTATTTGGCACTTGATATATAGATTTACATTTTTAATGTCCTTATTTTGAACATTTGAAGTTAAATGAAACATCTACCCTCCTTGTAAATACCATAAGGGTTTTGACATATTGTAAATATTATGTACTTTCTCTTCCTCATGTTTTACTGAAAATTGTTGTAGTGCTTTAATTCTTTCTTTATGTCACATAAATCATTTGTCTTCCTCTTTGTCCTCCTCTTCCTCCTCCTCCTCTACCCCATCCTCTTCCTCCTCCTGCCTACAGGTTTGTGCAGGAACATATTAGGTTATGCTAAATTGCTTACATCACTGAAATGTCTCCTTAGCCTTGGTTCCATAGACTGTGGTAAACAACCCTTCCTTTTTTATTTTCATCAAATGAAAATTTTTTTTCACAGTGAGGTCTAGAATAGAATTTTGTGTGTATCTAGAAAAAATAATAAACTATTCTATGATTTCGTTAATACTTTATATGTATACTTTTGTATTTATAAAATTGAGAGAATATTAAAATATTCTTGGTGGTAATCAATGATACATCACCTTTTCATGCCAAGTCTTTTCATGTTCAATTTTTTATTTGTATTACAAATTTGTTTTCCTGTTTGCATAAACTCATCTCACATATATGAGGTTGGAGCCTTCAACTGTCTCAGTGACTAGAGAAGCTGAAGTATATCACCTACCTGGCCAGCAGTGTCCAAGATGTCCAGATAAGCTGGCTCATTGTCAATCCTAACTTGGGTCTTATAAGCATCTTCTGAAAAACAGAAGCAAAGTTTATATTCAAATATGTCCAGTAGAAAAGCCATGATTATTTTTTTAGATTTTATAACAAAGAATTTCTAAACAAATTACTAAGTAAGAGAATCAGATATACTATCCAAAAAAAAGTAAGCAGATTGAGAAGAATGTAATGCAAGGATGTATAGGAAAAAGGATTTTAGTTAGAATACAGTTGGGTAGATTTTTTTTCTTCATCAGGAGAATTTCTTGATCTCAGATAACCTAGTAACATTCCCTTGAGAACAATCACTTGGACAAGTCCATCAATTCTTTTCCAACCATGAACCACAGAATAATGGTAAAAGAATAAAAGCTTTTCCTAGGAAATCAGGAGAAAGACACAGTGCTGGAAGTCCCAGCCAGATCTATTAGGCAAGAAAGAAGTAAAAGAAAGGATTCAAGTTGGAAAGGAGTAAAATTATATTTTCACAGATAACATGATCTTACGTGTAGAACATCCTAAAGATTACGTACATACACCTACAGGCACATACACAATAAATGAATTCAAGTTGTAGAATACAAACTAACAACAAAAATTGTGCTTGTGTACATTAACAATGAACAGACTGAAATAAATAAATCAATTCCCAAAAACAAACAGAAATATACTTAATTGAAGGTATAAAAGCTTAAACAAAGAAAACTACAAAATGTTGCAGAAAGACAGAGTAGAAAGATGTTCTGTGCTTATGGTTTTCAAGATTTAATATTACTAAAATGTTAGTATTACTAAGATGTTAATATTACCCAAAGTAACCTACAGATTTAATTCAATTCTTATAAAAATTCCAATTGCAGAAATTGAAAAAAAAATTCATACAAAAGTCATATGGAAACTTAAGACAAATACAGTACAAATAATTTCAAAAAAAGGACAAAAATTGAGTTTTATACTTCCCAGTTTCAAAACTGAATACGAAACTACAGTAATCAAAACAGTGTGATACTTGCATGAAAACAGACATATAGACCAATCACAGAATACAGAATCTAGAAATAAACGGTGGAATACATGGTCAACTGATTTTCAATAAGCGTCCCAAGACCAAGATGAGTCAATGAAAAGGATAAATGGATAAAGGAAAACTGGATATCCAAATACAAAAAGGAGTGAAGGTGGACTCATATTTAACAACACATAAAAATTAACTCAAAACAGATCAAAGACCTAAACATAATAATAAAACCTATAAAACTCTTGGAAGAAAAGATAGAAAAATAGAAAGATCTTTATGATTTTGTGTTTGACAATTTCCTACATACAACACTGAAAGTACCAGTGATAAAATTTGAAAATGGACTAAGGTATTTAATCCAAAATATTTATATAAATGGAATCACAAAATAGGTGACCATTTGCATCTGGATTCTTTTCACTTGGCGTAACATGATCTCATGTTTCCTCAGCAGCTATACCATAATCAGTTGTTCATTCATTTTTATTTCTGCATAATATTCCAAGAACCATCTGTGGATGACTGCCAAGTTATTGTCATTGTGGGGATATGAGCAGGGCCGTCCCCTACTGTCAATCTTGCTGACATCACACTCTGCAATTTAAGGTCTTTCTTTCTTTTTCTTTTTCTTTTTTTTAAATGTAAGCATCTACAGGTAAATTTTGGATTGTTGTGCTTTCATCTTCATTCATCCCTAATTACTTTCTAATTTCCCTAGTGATTTCTACCTTGACCCACAGGTGTTTGAGAATATAGTCTTTAATTCCCACATATTTGTAAATCTGTCAGATTTCCTTTTCTGTAGTATTTTAATGTCATTCTTTTGAGACTTAGATACTTGGTATGATTTCAGTCTCACTTCTTCCTTACACTTGGAAGGACAAGACATATTTTCTGGATGAAGTGCATTTGAGTTGAAGAGGTAGGCCAGGCAAGGCAGGAAAAGGAATAGGAAAGCCAGAATATGAAACTGCAAGAAGGGTATGTTAAAGGCACAAGAACTTAAATGATTTCAGTGTTGCTAAATACTAAGTATTTTGGTCAGCTTTTTTGCTGCTGCGACTAAAAGACCCACCCAAAACAATCTTAGAGGAGGATAGGCTTATTTAAGGGCTCATAGTTTCAGAGGTTTCAATCCATAGACAGTAGGCTCTATTCCTTGGGGCTTGAGGTGAGGCAGGACATCATGTTGAGAGAGTGTGGTATAGGGAAACAACTCACAAGATGATCAGGAAGCAGAGAGAGAGATCTCCACTTGCCAGATACAAATATATACCCCAAAGCCACACCCGCAACTCCCACCCCTTCCAGCCATATCATCCCACTTCAGTTACCATTCAGTGAATCCCTATCAGAGAATTAATTCACTAATTGGGTTAAGACCCTCACAACCCAATCATTTCTCCTCTGAAACATCTTGCATTGTCGCACATGTGAGCTTCTGGGGGACACCTCACATCCAAATCATAACATAAGGCTTTAGAGAAGACATGCTGATTAAGAGATAAATTGGACCAACTTCTGAATACATTAAAAGGAATCATCTTTTGATTGAGTCATGTGAGGTCAGACTGCGTGCATTTAAACTCTAGCTCCACCACTGTTAGCTGATTGTCTTTAGAAAAATCACCTTCTCTCTATATAATGTTGATTTCTCTTTAAAAAGTTATAAAAATATTTATATTTAATTCATGAAGTTTTTTAGAGGTTTCAATGAGATAAGGTCTGGAATTCTTCAAGCAGGGTGCTTGTGAGTAAGGTTTAATAAAGATTAAATATGTCCATTGTTATTAAAAAAAAATGAACTCTATTATAATGCTATCATCAGGAGAGCCTTTTTGAAATGCTCTGTCTTTGGGGTGTGGTGAGTGGATTTTAAAGTGGCACCTTGTGGCATAGGAAGAAGATTAAGTAGATATTTAGAACTCCAAATGAGAGACGATACAGACCTTTACCGAGATAGTAGCATTTGTGTTGGAATGAAGTTAATACATTTGCAAGATATTAGAAATAAGAAATTAAAGCACTTAATAATTGATTATATGTGGGAACAATGAAAAAAGAAAGTACCAGAGAAGCTCTCAGATTTCTGGAATCACCAGCTGAGCAGATGGTTATGACATTTCCTGAGACAGGGAAGGTAGACAGATGACAACAAGTTCAATGCGGGAAATACTGACTATGCCTTGTCTATGGATCCTCTAAGTGAGGACAATGGGTGTTCAGCTACCTTGCTCTGAGCCCTGGACAGGGCTCTTTAAGTTCTTTCATTATATAGTTGTATGTTCTTGTTCACATCAAACCTACCCTACATATTTTTGCATGTTTAAATATATAAAGTGAATACATATCATATGTCAAGCACAGTTGAACCTTCATAGCCTGAACTTCAAAAAAAAAAAAAAAAACCTAGGTTTTGGCTGCAGTTTGTATTTTGCTTTACCCACCATTTTTATTATAAGTAAAGAGCAAATGACATCACTGCTAAAAGCTTTTAGAACACCATTGGATTTGGGCACAAAATGATAATTATTCACACTGTTGATTTTGAGCCACCGTTGGACAAATGAATTATTTTCAGAATCTTTTGATGTAGAAAGTGGTAATAACCGCAGGAGGCATTTTTTCAATGCATAGTGCTGAGTACCTCCCACAAATCAGTCTTTTGCTAGCTGTTAGAGATACGAAGACTCTCAAACACACACATATAGAGAAGGGGGGTTGCAGATAATCATGGTCTTGACTCTCAAAGTGCTTATTCAATCATGGTGAGAGACACATGTATAAATAATTTATATACAATGGATTTTTAAGACTATAAAATGTATATGGCAGAGATTCATAAACTCAAAGAAATTCATTCCTTGAATTGTACTTGAGAAGATAGAAATATGGAAAGTGTGACTTGGACAGTGATCCATCTAGTGTGGTTTCAGCAACCTAGCAATTCTAAATCTATTCAATATATGGTCAATCATAACACTTTTTTCTATTTTCTGTCCCATTGATCATCTTCCTATTGGAGGGAAATTCTGTGGAATTACTTTCAATTTTTTTGGAAGATGCATTGGGTTGTTTTTCAATTTCATAGGGAAATAAGAAGAGTGACTCTGGAAAGGGCTCTGTCACCTGAGGATCACAAATGAGTCCTTCAGATTTCAGGTTTGTTTATTTAAACTCAAAGCCCGAAAGAAGAGCCTCCTGAGGCCAGGGGCATGCAGAGTAATCAAGGCTAGAATTCTCTCTGTGGTTATCTGATCCTTGGAGAAGCCCAGCATCTGAAACATATATTAAATGAAAGCTTCTCTTGAGATCAGAAAACCCCTTCAAAGAGACTTGATGTGAATTGGCTAGAAACGAAAGTCTGTCCCTGTATCCAAGGATTTTTTTTTTCTCTCTCTCTTTTAAAAAGTGTCCATAAGAGTATACATCCCAGTATGGGGAATCTAGGTCACCTGCCTGGCCCTCATAGAAACTAATCCCTTTCATTTCCTTTCCACAAACAATCTTTCTTTCAGTTTCCATTCATCCACACCCTTTGAAGCCACCCATGCAGAAATGTACTGTCAGAAATCCTCTGTTGAATGCATATAAACACTTTCCTGAATTTCAATCATCTACCCATAGACCCAACCCTGAAGTGAGCTCATTTATCTTTCCTCACAAAGAGGCCAAATGTACACAAAGCTTTATCAGGCAGAAATGGTAGCAGCTGCCTGCTGTATTCTTTGCACAGAAAAACACAATAGGACAGCATTCCTGGAGACATCTACCACCTCAAAATTCATCTCAAAATACTAATGTTTAATTTGAGACCACTGATTCTCTTAGAATATGTCTTCCTCACTTTCTTTCTCCAGCAGAATTTTATAAAAAGAAAATATTAAAGACCTGTATTAAATCTTTGAATATACCATTAAAAATCTGTTGCTATTGGCCAACCACTTAATCTTATTTGTAAGATTGAGACAATAGCACATAAACGTGAATACATAGGATTTCTATAAGGTTCAAC